TGTAGGCACTCCATTGGTTCCGCACACAGCCAACCCCTCGGCCCCTGCAACCCTCCTGTCAGCCTGCTGAGTGGCTGGGCCCCCAGGCACATGCCACCACACCCTGCAAAGTGTGTCTTTTATAGTTAGGCCTGTCATTTGTCTTTCTTTCCACACAGATATCTTCACTTGCTGGATGGAAATGAAAATTATCCGTGTCTTGTGGATGCAGACGGTGATGTGATTTCCTTTCCACCAATAACCAACAGTGAGAAGACAAAGGTAGGCTGGCGTGGATATGAGCATGGTGTGTCTTGTGGGCTATGCCCTGCAGCATCAACACAAGTGCCTGCTCCATCATCAAGTCTCATTGGTGCAGAAGAAAACACAGCCCAGAGGGGACGAAGGGCCCTGGCTTCTCAGAGCTGCAGCTCACTGTTCACGCTGGGCGCTGCGTGGTGGGTGGGATGCTGCAAACTGCGGTCCTCATCTCTGTAGGAAAGGCGCGGGCGGTGTGTCTGGAAACATCTGCTTGATTGATTGATCCAGACAAGTCTTGCTTTGTTGCCGAAATCGGCATGCAGTGGCGAGATCATAGCTCACTGCAGCCTCAAACTGTTGGGCTCAAGCAGTTCTCCCACATCTGCCTCCTGAGTAGGGACCACAGGCGCGTGCTGCCACAGCCGGCTAAATTTTGTATTATTTTTGTAGAGACGGGATCTCACTGTTACCCAGGCTGGTCTTGAACTCCCGAGCTCAGGCGACCCTCCCCCATCAACCTCACAAAGTGCCGGGTTTACAGGTGTGAGCCACTGTGCCTGGCCACACAGTTTTGTAGACTTTTCTTGAGAACAAATGTTGAGTTGCTGATGTCTACATTTGATAAGGGTTCTTTTCTGAAATCCTTTCTTTTAAGGTGAAGAAAACGACTTCTGATTTGTTTTTGGAAGTAACAAGTGCCGGCAGCCTGCAGATCTGCAGGGATGTCATGGATGCCCTCGTCCTGGTGAGTGCGTGCAGGCCCCGCTGAGAAGCGCTTTCTGGCGGGGCGGCGCACTGCTCGTTGCCTGCCCATCCTGGCTGCCTTTCTTGCTTACTGCATTGGCTGACGGCAGCGCGTCTTCCCTGGGTCACCTCTCATCCTCAGGTTAAAAAGGCACTTTTCATTTGCAGAAAATGGCAGAAATGAACAAGTACACTTTCGAAAATAAAGAGGAAGGATCACTCTCAGACACCGAAGCTGATGTAGCCGCTGGACAACTTTCAGATCCCAGCATGAGTCCCAGTGCCGCGAAGGACGGGCCCTCCCCGCTGGTGGTGGAGCAGGTCCGCGTGCTGGACCTGGAGGGGAGCCTGAAGGTGGTGTACCCGTCCAAGGCCGACCTGGCCACCGCCCCTCCCCACGTGACTGTCGTGCGCTGACGCCAGGGCCCCCTGTCCAGGCTGTCCGCGTTCATTCGGGCTGTTTTATGGAGGTTTCTATGTGGCAATGCTGAATTATCCGTTATATTTTCACCTCAGCATTTTTAAAGATGTATGTATTCGTTGTACTGTTTTCCCAGATGATTCTGTCGTAAAGTGATGCTACATTGTTGTTACAAGACCGACCTGATTTTACAGTTTTTTACGGAATTATTCAAATGTCAGAATTGACTGTTGGGAATGTTCTGAATCACGTAGATACGTGGCAGGTGACTCTGAGAGAAAAGACACTGTACAGTCCTGCGCCACATGACAGCATTTGGGTCAGGGATGGGCACCTCCATGACGGGCCCACGATGTCCTCATGGAGTGTGTTTGGAAATGTGGTGTGTGGTTCTCGACGTTGGCCTTGTAGACCACGTAGGGGGAGTGACTGATGTTCAGTCATGCTGCCCGGACACTTGGCTCTCCATATGAAAAACACATATAAATCCAACTACATGCACCATCGAGGCTGGTGTAAGTCTGATCGCACACGTTGCTTGTGTCACTAAGTGACGCGTGATTGTAACTGGAGCCTGGAAAACTTGTGAAGCTGACCGCTGTGTGTTGCCTCGAACAGCACAGTCACTGGCTGTGACGCAGCGCCTGTTAAACCCTGTCGTGCCAGTGTGCAGCTTGGGATGTGCAAGGACGCTGGGTTTTCCAGCTTGCGGTGATCACAATCTATGGGAAAAGTGTTAATGTGACCTTAGAATTGGCAGAACTTCTCTTAATAATGCTGTTGGATTGCTTTGTGGGACAGACAGTAGCAGTAACTGGACCGCTTAGGTGTTTGAGCCAGAAATCCTCGTTTACGCACCAGATGGTTGGGTCCTGGGTGCATTCTCTTGTAAATGTTTCTGTTGTGAATGTCCAGGTCAGACCCCCACGTCCATGTGTCTTCATGTGTGTCCAGGCACATGTGCGTGCACACTGCTCCCGGGAGTCAGTGCGCTTAGGTCACGTAGACCCAGCCAGCCACCGCGATCTTTCACGGACCCTACTGCCTTACAGTCTGACTGCCATGTGAGAAGCGGCCTCGTCAGCTTTACTGAATGACACCGTTTTTCTGTTCAGTGTCTCAGTTTCTGTGTCTGTAGAAATGACTGGCAGTTTGGGGGAGGATCTGCAAGAGCCCCACAACCCCTTTCATCAGAAGCACAGAGGCCCAGGGACCTGTGTGCTGGGCAGACAGCTGAGTGGCTCTTCAGAGCTTGCAGGACACAGGCCAGGTGGCCGTGAGACCCAGATCCACTTGTCGGGTCACTGCCAGGCCTTCCTGTCTGGCCCACTGTGGGAGGGAGGGGGTTCCAGACAGGCTGGGGGGGACGAGGCCCACACTCAGTGCCAACTGGACATGTCGGACGGCCCCTTGCCTTGTGTTCCCCCAAAACCTACTTTCCTGCTACTCTGGACAGTCAAGGCAGATGCCACAGTTGGGTTAGACCTGCACTACTGGAAGTCCGAGGCGGCTCAGGGCTTCCCCAGGCCGGGACTCTGCTGGCTCTCTGGGCTGGGGGCCCCAGACAGTGGCTCTGAGAGGTGATTTTGGGCTGCTCTGCAGAGGCTGTCCTTTCTCTGCGTGGCCCAGCCCAGGAGGGAGAGATGCTGGAGCTGCCATCTTGGCTCCCAGGGACTTGGTGGCCACACTGTAGCACATCTGTCACCGGGTGTATGTGGACGAGGCTGCCATGTGCTGTGCCCTTTCCTGATGCGGCTAGTGATGCGTGAGGTACTGGAAATGTATTTAACTTGCAGGGGAGGTCTCTTTGGTGTTTGCTTCACCCCACCCACCACTCGCTAATAAAAAGCACTGAATAAAAACCAGCTCTACTCCTGGCCCAGCAGATCCTTGCCCACTGACATTGCCAGAGCGTGTTGATCCAAGTGTCACAAAGTTCTCCAGCACAATGTGGCTTCCACACGGGGAGGCTGAGGGCGTGCTGTCCCCGCCCAGATCCTGCCAGCAGGGAGCACAAGGCACCTGCGGCTATCACAGGGAAGCCAGTGCCCTTGATCAGGGGTCCTGGGAACCGGCCCCACCTTGCTGGTCTCCTGCCTGGAGCACAAGGTGGCCCAGAGGTCTCAGGCTGCCCGGACCTCCCAGGTGCACACTCAGCAGGGTCCAGGCCCCAGACGCACCCCCAGCAGATCCTCCTGTTCATGAGTCTCAGGGAGGCAGGGTCCTGTCTTACCCTCTCCCCAACTTTCCAAAGCTGTAAGGACACTGCCCAGCTCAGCCCAGGTCCATGACCCTGGGGGTCCTGGGGCCAGAGCTGCCGTCTTCACCATGGTCACTCAGGGGACGAGTGGTACACCTGAGAGGTGGCTGTGTGTAACTTGAGTGCCTGTCCAATGAGTGCCCATGGGTGTTTGCCTGCAGCCTCCCCTGCTGGGGCAGGCACGGCTGCTGGCGGAGCCCCTGGCTGAAGATGCTGGGCCCCTGCCAGGGCGGGCCCAGACGCAGCCAGCCAGATCTGCCTGTTCCATCTGCTGCCGGCCCGACAGGTGAGGAGAGCATTTGTGGGGTGCATGGGCATCACTGGTGTGCGGGACCACCAGCAGAAGCACTAGGGCCACTTGCCCTCCTTTGCTGCAAACTGGGGCAACCCTCATCCCCATCCTGTTCCCTCACCTGGCTCCTGGGCTATACCAGTTCTTGGAGAGGCCCAACCCCAGACCCCAGATCGGAGTGCTGCCTTCTGGAGCCCATGCAGCCAAACTGCCTCTGCCACTCCCCCACAGTAGCCCCAGGGCGGTGTTGTCTTGCATATCCAGGCTCCAGGGAGGGCACCAGCTGGCGGCTCCCCTGCCTTCTCGGGAGAGGGGAGAGGCCGGTCAGAGGGAGGGATCTCTTTTTTGGAGACTCCTGCTGAGATGCAGGCTGTCGTGGCTGGGGCAGGCAGCACCCCACCCCTCAGCAGTCTCCCAGAAAAGCAGCATTGCTTCAGACCCCAACCCAGGACAGGCCCTTGGGCTTCTCTCGGGTCTGGAGCCAGGCGCCTTGGGGCAGTGTACAGTCTGCCATGCAGCTCCACCTGCAGACCTCGAGGGGACCTGCTCACCCCAAAGATGGATGCTGTGGAGTCTGCCTCCCACCAAGACTGGCCCAGCCCCTCCCATTTACCTGACTTGATGCATTTGGTGGGTCCTGGCCTGGGGCAGGCACAGCCTCACCCTTCTGATAACCTCATCTGGCCCTGTGGCCTCCCTTCTCTGTACTTGTGAGGACAGTGGCTGCCTGTGTTTCCCACCCCCAGCCCTGGGGTGAGGACTCCTTTCCTAAGGGGAGGTTTCTGGCAAGGGTCTTTGGGGTCTTTTGTGGTAGGCGAGGGCTAGGTCCGGAGGCCAGGACAGGGTGGAGAATGGGACTGAAATCCTTGGGGCACAGCTGAGGTCCAGCCACATCGTGGCCCCCAGGCCTGCCCAGTGTCCTTGTCAGAAGGCTCTGTTGGGAGGAGTGCATTCCCAGAGCCACATGGGAGCGGCCTGCCGAGGGGAGGACAAGCCCTTCCCAAAGCCTTTCTGGATGTCACGCCTGCCCAGGCAACTATGGCAAAGGCTGGCACCCACCGTTTATTTAAGACACTTACTGCCCCGTGCACAGGCTCTTGACCCACAAGGAGCACTTGGAGCAGTCAGGCCCGTCCCTGGGGAGGGAGGGTAGACCTGGGTTCTCCCTGGCAACCGCCGGCCCCAAGAGGAAGAACTGTGCCCACTTTACTAAGGAAGATATGGTGCATCTGGGACAGGGGCCAGGGCCTGCTTCCTGCTCTGCATAGGAAACCTGGGGCTGGGTCTTAGTCCCCTAGGGAAGGGCAGGGGACACACAGCCCTTCTTGGAGCCAGCCTTACAAAACCAGGAGTCAGGCCTAGAAAAGCTGGGGGCCTGCCCAGGGCACACAGCTCTGCACAGGGCCCCCTCGGAGGGAAGCAGTGGGAGGGTCCTCCCCGGGGGACTGCCAGAGAGGTGGGCAGTTTGCCTATCAAAGAAACCCTTCATCCTGACCTTGACAAGGAAGGGGCTGGGCCCTGGGCCAGGGGAGGCTGTGGCTGGGGGCTCTGGGCTGCAGGTTGTGGCCTGGGTATGTCCCGCAGCTCCTGCTGAGGCTGGGCCCAGGTCTCCCAGCTGCGTGTGCCCAGCTGTTTGTAGATTCTTTGAAGGACCGTGTGCCAGGTGTGTGTGTGCCCTCGTGTGAGGCCTGTGACAGCTGCGCACCTGGTGTCTTCATGGGTCTGGATGCCAGTGCGTGTGCCCTGTGTACTGTGTGTGCCACGGGGTCCATGTATACGGGGTGTCCGCAGGCCTGTGGTCTCACACGTGTGCCGCCAGCCCCCAGCCTGCTTGCGGGGCAGCATTTATTTGCACTTGTGCACGTAGTAGCCGGTGAGGTAGCCCAGGATAAAGATGATCCAGAAGAGGGCCACACCGCCCAGCACCTTCATGGCGATGCCCAGCTTGCCCGAGCACAGCTTCTGGGAGATCCTGGGGTGAGAACCAACCGGAGTTGAGCCCCAGGCCGGGGCCACGTGAGGGGCCCCCTAAGTGGACTGTGGCCATTGGGCCGGGTCACGGGGAGAGGTCTGGGCACTCAGGAGGCCACCCGCCCCACCCACAGCCAACCAGAGGGAAGCCCCAGGGCTGTGGTCTGCTGAGCTGCTGGGCTCCCAGCTGGGACAGGTTGGAGGGTGACGGGGCTGGCGGCAGGGGTTAGGGCAGGTGGCTCCGGAAGGAGGGACCGACCTGCTGGGGCGGCAGGCTACCCTCAGGCCCCTCACCTGCGGCAGCATGAGGCCTCTTCTGTGCTGGACACGGCCCCCAGGCTGACTCCATCCCGGCTGCCGTCCTCCCACCTGCTGTAGTGGACGTGGCTCTCCTGCGGCTGCATGCTGCCAGGTTGCAGCAGAGGGGCGGGGCCTTCACGGTGGGGAGACTGAGGCAGGCTGTGAGTTCACTGTAAAGCACAGCCGATGGAGGGTGCAGCCAAGACCTGCTCTGGGGCTGCTGCTGGTGGAGGGGGGCTGCCACTAGGGGATGGGGCTTGGGGGAGCTGCAGCTGGGGGAGGGGCTGCCTGGGGTTAGGTGGGGGGGGCTGCTGCTGGGGGAGGAGCTGTCTGGGGTTAGACGGGGGCGGGGGGGGCACTAAGGGTCGGGGGCTGGCTCCCTTACTGGCTCTGTCACCTGACTTAACAGGTGACTTAGATGCAGAGTGGTTGAGTCACTTGCCCGGGGTCATGCCGGGAGGATGGGACCAAACAGGAATTCCAACCCAGGGAGGCCGAAAGGCGGCCAAGCTCTGACCTCAGGAATGTGGGAGGCCAGAGTTTCCTTCCAGTGAGCTCCAGGGGCCTCTCTTCCCGGGTGCTTTTATCAGGGAGGCTGCACAGCCTGCCGCCCTCAAGAGACGAGGACACTGTGGCCCAGCCCAGGCTGTAGCCCCTGATAATTGTTCCCCTCCGTAACCCTGCCTGATAAGGCCCCTGCTGACCTCTGGAAAGCCTGGCCAGGGGCGTGGGGGTGGGGCAGGCGGCAGGCCGGAGGCGGCGGCTGGTACAGCTAGTCTGGCCCCTGTCTGGGAAGGATACGTGGCTCACCCCAGACAGTGGCAGCAGCTGTGTCCTTGGCCTGTGTGGGTTGCAGCTCCTCCAGCACCCACACCTCTGGGAGGGCCGGGGTTTGGGGGATGCACGGGCCTGGGGTGGGTTCAAGGCCTTGGGGAGGCCCTACAGAGAGGATGGTCATGGGTCTCGGCGGCTGCCCAGAGTGGGAGGGGCCCAGCCCCAGCACCAGCTCCCTGCTGGGCTCCAGCTCCTGCAGGCCAGGGACTCATGTTTGCATCTCGGCACTCAGCTCGGTGCCTGGCAGCCCAGGTGTCCAGAGAGGCAAGGAGACCGCGGGGACTGAGCAGGAACTCTGAGCACCAGTGCAGCTGCCCGGCAGGCCTGTGCCAGCCCCAGCTCTGAGCACCTCCTTCACCCTCTGGCCTCTGTTAGGACCTCCTGTTTACCTAAGGGGGCGCAGGGGTGGAGGGGGCACCAGAAGTTGAGAACCCACCCAGGCTGTGGGATTTGGGGTTAGCTCTCTGGTCTGTTGGGCCCCCAGTGTCCCCTCTGGGCATCTGGCCCCCAGGAGTGGGGTCCTCAGGCAGGCAGCGGCAGGCCCCTCACTTCTAGGGGCTGAGGCTATGCTGGGCCCCTGCCATCAGGGAAGGCTGACCCTCCTCCCAGGTCATTGGCACAGAGGCCTAAAGGCACAGCAGCCACTCCCCTGCAAGAAACCAGCACAGAAACTCAAGCCCCGGGCATTTCTGAGACTCCCGGCATTTCCTTGTCTGCCCTTCCACAAAGCCCATCGAGGCAGAGGGAGCCGTGTCAAAGCCATAAAGTGTGCCTTCGGTGGGAGCCCTGGCTACTGAATCTACTGGAGTTAGTTTGCTCTCCCGGAGCCTGTGGAGCCGTCAGCTCCCTGCCCAAGGTTCACACCCTCTGGCCTGGTGAGCAGAATCCCAGTCTAGTCCCAGCAGCAATGTACCAGACCCAGGTGACAGCCACGACCGGCGTAAGACAAGCTTAATATGACCACCCCTGTGTTCCCAAGTCACCCAGCTGTGGGCCAAAAGCCAGGGTGCAGCAAGGGATGTGAGAGCCTTTGCTTCTGTGAAAGAAGTGCAGCCTGGATGTGATGGCTGGAGCTGCAGCAGCAGCCTTGCAACCCAACATCCAGGCTGCATTAGTCCTGGGAGTGCTGAGTCTCCAAGTCCACAGCAGCAGCCCACCACCGGCCTCTCGGTGGGAGGCGTCAAGCCCAGCGTGTTCAGGCCTGGGATCGTGGGTTCCTGTCTTGCTGACTGACATAGAATGTGCATTTCCAAGTCACCCGGGTGGGCAAAGCCACCAGGGGCGGCCCTAGAGGCTGGCCTCCCTCACTCACTCAGTAAGCATCTGTTCACACTTCCCTGACAGTCACAGATGTGGCGGCAGGAACCCATCAGGTCCTTCCTGCACTCATAAACCTCCCAGGGGTTTGTGAGTGCAGGAAGGTCCTAGGCACACAGCGGTCCCCGCACACACCTCTTCACCCCACAGCGCCTCAGGACCCCACACTTACCCGAGAACCTTGCCTGAGGACTGGGGCCTCAGGGAGTGGTCAGGGCCTGGCCAGCTGCCCGCACCTTCCAGCGAGGCAGGTCGTGGGCTGAGGTGCAGCAGATGCCTCGAGCCTAAAAAAATAAGAAAGGTAACCGGAGGAGCGGCCTTGCTAGGGGCCGGGAAGGGAAAGTAGCCGGGGTCGGGGGTCCCCAACGGCCACGAAGAGCCAGGCATGCAGTTCCGGGTCTGGCCCCGCTCTGCGGGTTGGGCCGGGGTGGGGGGTCAGTCCAGGGCACGCCAACAGCCCCCGCCAATTCTCAGCCGCGCCCAGGCCCAGCTCCCCACTGCGGCCGCACCGGGAAGCTGCAGCTCGGACCCCGCGCGCCTCACCTGAGTCTCCGTGTATCCCGGCTCCGCAGGGGTCGGGACTGGGCAAGGGGCAAGGGCTGGGGCGGGGCCACGCGGGGAAGGGCTGGAG